CCTCGACTGTGCGTTCGGCAGGCATCTCGAGCCACAGTGGTGTCTGGTCCGCGTTTATTATCCACTGCGGGTCAATCTTGTATTGGCGGCGGGTGTGACGCACGAACTTCCAGAAATTCCTGACGTCAGTCTCGCAGTCTGGGAGTACGGGTGGGAGGGAAAGAGAGAAGAGAGTATTAATGACGCGTTAAAATTCAACCGTGAAACATAAAGAGACAAACAACACAAAGCAGTACACATTAAACTGCAACCATTTCCCACAAAACTCACTGGCAGCAAGCTTCTGGCCGACCCTGGTCTTCGCTCGGGTTGTCAGATTCCAACGGCGGCGAAACCGCTCAGTCCACCGCTGCGAGCCGGACCACTTTACCTGTGGGTGCAATTCTTTCATCACCTCATGCGACCACTTCTGTAGGCGAGCAATCGAGACCGCGAGACATTTTTTACGGTGGGCAAGAAACCTCCTGTAGACTTCAGCTTCCATGTCGCGATACCACGAGCTCCTTCCGCGCCCATGAAGACGCTTGCGAGCAGCATGCGCGCCCTCCGGGTCAGCCTTCCGGGTCTTCCATTCTGCGAGTGACCTTCGGGAGATGCCGGTTTGGCGAGACATCTGCCGCACGCTCATGTGCCCGGACTCAAGCTTGAGAATCCACTGCAGTTTCTCCTGCGATGTGTAAGAGTGCCGCTTGTGACTTGAAGGCTTGTGCCTGGGGGAGGGAGGACGGGCATCGCGATTCTCGCGAGAAGGGTGGGGCCGTTTCTTATTGGGGGGGGGGAAGGTGGGAATAGGCAGGTGCTCTGGAAGACCGTCGGCAGCCCAAAACTCCACGTCATCCTCCGCACCAGTCGCGGATTCGTCCAACGGGCAATCAGCCGGGGCTCCCCAGCGTGGCGACGGTGCGGAGGAAGACGATGCGCCACCGGCGCGGTCGGGCTCGGACAGGTACGCGTCAAACGCCGAGTAGCCAGGAGGGAGGAGAAGCTGCAGGACCCCCTGACGTGGAGCACAAAACACAGGCGGGTCAGGAGGGGACGGAGGAGCTGGAGGAACCGGAGGCGCCGGGGGAGCGGGAGGTGCAGGAGGAGTTGGGGGAGTGGGAGGAACGGGAGGAGCTACTGGTTGACACGGAGGGACGGGCGCAGGGCGCGACTGCCATTGAGAGTAGTCACAGGTGTCTCGGCGGGTGTTTTCTCTGGCAGCAGGATGGCGGCGGAACAAGAAATGCGTGCCTGGAAGGCCCGCCATGGCCACGGCAGGCCAAACGAACAAAGAAACTGAAGGCAAAAGTCGAGAATGAGGGCTGTATGAAGCCCTCGCCCGAGACCCCTTCATTTTCGCGGCCCGGCCTCCTCTGCGGGAAAAGGGTGGCCCCAGTCAAGATTCCCCGCAGAGGAGCTGAGCTGGGCAGCTCCTTGCCTCGGTGGCGGGGAATTTTGCTGTTGATGGGCACACCGTGGCTGAACCACGACGTGCCCACGATCGCATGCAACCCTGATTGGGCCGCTGTGATGCGAGGTACGTGTGCACTGGCATGGGCCAGGTTCACGTTCGATGAACCTGGCCTGGCCAACAAGGCGTGGAAGGCGTGAAGCCACGCCTTGTTGGCTGTTTCACACGCAATGCATGCACAGTTTCGAACGTTCTCGACCCAGGTGAATCCGCGTTTGAGAATGCTTCGATTTGGTATATTAAAAAACAAATTTCAAATTTGACAAATTATAAACGCCGGCGCTTATAAATTTACTATATTATAAGCCCACCCCCTCAAAAAAACATGTTATATTATAGCCCCCCATGGGGGTATATCCGGGGGGTGACGGTAACTCTACTAAAGATCCTAGGGCGTTCAGCCCAACATCTTGGAGCGAACACAGCCATGACTTCACGAAACAGCCAGTCAGGTGTGATCAATTTGGCATAAGGCAAGGCTGATCACAGAGCTGATCCTCTGCAATGCATCACAATCTCAAAATCTTGTCCACTACAGAAGATCAGGCCTCAGGCTCCCATGCTGTTACCATTGCACATTCTAAACCACACCATGTTGGATCGCTGCAGTAGACGCAGAGCCGTGTCACACCTCTCCTCCCACCGCCCAGCATTCACCCCCCGATCACACTGATCAGCCTTTTCATCCCCATGAGCCTCAAGGGCTTCTCTAAGCTCTAAATAAGCCTGCACCACGAAAGCCATGCCACCAGCACACGGACCTTCCTCACCCCCAGCCATCCCTCCTCCACCTGCCCCTCCTCCCCCTGCCTTGTCAGCGCACACCCGAGCCTCTGCAAGATCGCCCTTCGTCGCATGGAGAGCAGCCAGGTTCACATACACGCTCTCCCTCCACTCCATCCATTTCGCCCCCCCTGCCTGCTGCTGCTGCTCCTGCTGCTGCTGCACCCGCTGCTCCTCCTCCTCCCGCCCCCTATGGCAGCTGCGGGAGGGGAAGCTTCCAGGAACTCGACAAGGCACTCGGATAGAAGACTCAGGGCATCACCAGGGCGGCCCAGAAGACAAAGAGCCTCTGCTGTGTACATGCGGAGGGCGCTGCGTTGCCACGGGTCTGAGCTCCTGTCAGGGCTGAGAGGTTTCTGTGAGGCAAGCTGTGAGGTAAGCTGTGAGGTAAGCTGTGTGCGTGGGTCGTTTGCGGCGTGAGGGGGAGGGTTGTTGCGGGTGTTGAGCAGGGAGAGGGCGTGTTGGGCGGTGGCAAGGCAAGCGAGGTGGTTGAGGAGGGAGAGCTCGACCCAGGCCAGCTGGCACAGGGCTGAGAGGAGAAGGCGGCGGTGGGCGGAGGGTAGGAGAGGTGGGGGAGTGAACGGCTTCTGGCTGCTGCCACCGCCGCTGATGGCGCCACTGCTGCTGATGGTGCTGGTGCGGGTGCTGGTGCTACTGATGGTGCTGGCGGTGCTGACGGTGCTGGCGGTGCTGGTATGAGGGGGGTGCGAGAGCAGCAGGTGGATGGCGTTCTTGAGGCACATGCGTGCCAGGGGGAGGGGATCCAGCCCCAGAGAGGACGACAGAGAGAGCGAAAACGGCAGTGGCTGCTTAGAATGGCCGAACCCCGCTCTGTCTGTACTGACCGTTGCGTCACTGGTGGTACCACCGCTGCTGCTGCTGCTGCTACCGGCAGCAGTGCCACCATGGTGCCTAGGAGGAATGGCTGATGCTGCTTCTTGCTTCCCTGAATTGCCGTGAGTGACGCTCGCTCCTGCGTCCCCGCGGACTCGCCTCGCCATGAGATCAGCAAGCTCACTGAGAGCCGTCGATTCACCTGCACCAGCACCGCCCAGAGCCGTCAATTTGACTGCAGGGATTCCACCGCTGGTACTTTCAGCGAGGACCCCTGATTCGATCTTGTGTTGGGATCCATCGTCGCGTGTGCCAGCTGGCAGAAGGACATACTGCCACGTGTCGTCAGTCCTTCCGCCGCTCATCAGAGTCACCGCCATTCTGCTGGGTCCGAGAAAGTCTTGCTGCTTCTGATTATCGCTCCGATGCTGCTGCTTTTGATGATCATCCTGCTTCTGTTTCTGCTTCTGACGGTGCTTCTCCTGCTCCTGCTGCTCTTGATATTCATTCTGCCCCTCCTGCTGTTGCTGGTGGGTGAGAATGCAGCACTCTGCCAGTCGAAGCCACAGCAGCGGCCAGTCGCAGAAGACGCGCGAAACCTCCTGGAAGCATCGTGCGGCCTTGACGGGATCGCCGCTGAGCAGCATCTGCAGGCCGAGCTGGTACACCAGCCGCGCCGCGTCGCCGTTGTTCTGTGCAAGCTGTGCTGACGTGTCGCGGCTGCGGATCATTGCGTCCACACCAGCTCCCTTTCTGAGACTGTCGCTATCCATTTCAAGTTGAGCCCGTTATCTTCGTGCGCTAACCTACAAAACGCGGCTAAGAGCAGTTCAAATTGCAAGTCCAAAGTGGTCGACAGACCAAAGCGCTGATGCACTAGTCCGTGCCGGTTGTTGACTAAGTCCCACGCCTCGTGGAAGGGCTTTTGGCACGCAACCAGCGTTGGGTCTAGAACCGCTTTAGTATTCTCAGCTGCGACAACAGGCGTCTGGGCCCAAACCGGACCAAACCGGACTCTCTTGCCAATGAACTCAGGAGAATCCCGAAACCGCAACTATTTACTAGTTAGTCGACTTTCTTTGGCCCAGACTGCACTCCCTAGGACTCTGCTTCTAGAATCTAAGCGCGATGCAATGCGATTCCTCCCTACGTGCTTGTATAGGCCCCGTTCTAGAACCTAACACAGGTTCATTCGGATTGAAGTTATTTGCTGGCGTGATGTGGATTTGGCTGCTGGAAAGTTGCATACACTTCGCTAAAAATTTCGAGGAACTTTTAGCGCACAGCTGATGGTGCTTTAAGCGAGGATTTCCAGAATTAGCCTGAAAATTTGAGAATGCTTTGTCCCCTACAAATATCGAAGTTTTGCACTGCAAACTGTAGAGCTACGCAGGTCTTCCTATTCCTGATTCGTTATAGCGTAGCCTCCGCTGCAAAGCTGATGGGTGCTGCTATCCCTGCGGTGCGCTGACTTGGCGCCGTTAGTTGTGTGTGGCGGCGGCGTAATTAGGCGAGTAAAGCTCCCAGCCCAGGAACCTACTAGGGGGCTCTTCCTCCTCCTTTACCTCGACTCCTAGCCTAGCCTAGACCCCACCCCACGCCAACAGAACCTCGAAACCGAACCGAACCACATTCAACGCCAGGCGAGCAACCTGATCTGAACCATTCACTTTTGTGTCCGATTCGACACACTTCCGTGTCTGATCCGTACCGTATCGTAGTTCTCCCGAAACACCACGGCGTAGTAGAGCAGTAGTTAATCGGCCAGGACAGCTCAGCAGCCAATAGAAGCTCCGCAGGGTTAGCTCTCATGACGCTCGTCGCGCTATGCCGCCGCGCTACGACCAGCATCTGCTGTAACACCGGAACAGTCCCACCCCTACGTGGCTACAATAACGGGGCGTATAATAACGGAGCGGTGTTTTCGCGGATGACTCTTGTCTGTTCCTATAGCAGCGGACTTTCTTCCCTCGCTCGAGGCCGAGCCGCGATCGGCTCTAAGCTCCATCATAGTAGCCATAGCCACGTGGCGACTCAATGCCACGTGGCTCGATTATCCATCACTGCCAGCTCCTCTGCCAGCTCAGCAGCGACCGTGTCCACGTCTGCCACGTCAGCAGCCCCCGTGGCGCTAGACCCGTCGTACGGGAGTAAGGAGGTGATTAAAGTCGACACGCGCGTATACCAATACATCCTGGAGCACACCCGAGAACCCGAGGTGACTATAAGCGGCGTGACTTGGTGGTGTGACTAAAAGAGGTGTGGATATAAGAGGTGATTATGGGTTTGGGATGTTGGGGTGTGTCACAGGCTTCCAGCAACGCTTTTGGAAGAATAGCTTTCCTGTTCTTGCCCCATTCACCCTCTGCTGCACTCTCACTCTCCTATTCTCTCCCTCTGTCCCGTCCTCTCGTTACTCTACCCATGCCCAGTAACCGTGCCCACTATCCTCCTGGCCCCCCGCATGCCCCCTCCCTGCCTATCCCCCTCTTCTTCCCATCTCCTCTTCCCGTGTCTGGCAATTCCTGTCAATTTTATCATGTCTTCTTCCCATCTCTCTTCCCTCGTCCCCCTGCCTTTATTTTCTCGTGCAGATTCTTGCCGAGCTGAGGAGGGAAACTGCAACCATGATAGGCAAGGAGATGCAGGTGAGGGGTAAGGTCATGACTTATACCCGCTATAAGCAGGGGATGGTCGTCTATTCGTCATAAGCAGGTGCAGAATGCAGATTCTAGCCGAGCTGAGGAGGGAACCTGCTACCATGATAGGCAAAGAGATGCACGTGAGTTGAGGAACTAGGTTATAATGCATACCTGATATAAACAAGGGGTGGTCGTACCCGTGATAAGAGGGTGCAGAGTGTAGTAGAGTTGAGGAGATAGACGGCTGTTGTCATATGCGACGAGGTGCAGGTGAAGACATGCCTTATACCCGCTTTTTATATGCACGTTATAAGCAGATTCAGAGCAGGGTTGTCTCGTTTATGCTTATTGCGGTTAACTGGGCAGGGCATGCATTTCAGAGGAGAACTTGGGGGGAGTGAGGTGAGGGGGGTTGCGGGTGAGAAGGGTGACCTTTCCTCACAACATGGTGCGATGCGAATTCATGGGAGCAAGGCAGTACTGTCATGCTCCCGTTCACCCATGACCAACCTCACTTTCCCCCTCATCCCGGCCTATCCCGTCCTATCATGCGCTGTCCCATCCCACCGCATCCCATCCCACCCCATCCCATCCCACCCCATCCCATCCCACCCCATCCCATCCCACCGCATCCCATCCCCATCCCATCCCATCCCATCCCATCCCATCCCATCCCATCCCATCCCATCCCATCCCATCCCACCCCATCCCACCCCTTCCCATCCATTCCCATCCCATCCCACCCCTTCCCATCCATTCCCATCCCATCCCATCCCATCCCACCCCATCCCATCCCATCCCACCCCGTCCCATCCCATCCCATCCCACCCATCCCATCCCATCCCACCCCGTCCCATCCCATCCCATCCCATCCCATCCCACCCCTTCCATCCATTCCCATCCCATCCCATCCCATCCCACCCCTTCCCATCCCATCCCATCCCATCCCATCCCACCTGTTCTACCACACACACCACCCCTTCTGCAGGTGTCTCCAGAGCAGGGAGCGTTCTTGGCCATGCTGGTGCGGCTTATGGAAGCAAGGGGCGGGTAGTGTGGCGGTGCACCACACACGCTCATGCTCTTGTCTGCCTGCCTGCCTGCCTGCCTGCCACCACCATCCCTGCAGGTGTCCCCGGAGCAGGGAGCATTCCTGGCAATGCTGGTGCGCCTCCGGGAGCCAGGCACTGCATTCACCATTCACACACCCTTACTTGCTTGCCTGCCATGCCATGCCACCACTCCACTCCCCTGCAGGTGTCCCCAGAGCAGGGAGCATTCCTGGCCATGCTGGTGCGGCTCATGGGGGCCAGGCGCTGCATTGAGCTGGGCGTGTACACGGTGAGCCTTGCGGCTGTGCGGTGTGCTGCGGTGTGCTGTGTCGGCGGGCTGGGTATTTTATATGCATTGAGTTGGGCGTGTACACGACACGGTGAGGCTTGGGACCACGGCTGCTGTGCGCATTGTTGCAGTGTGTTGCTTCCCCCTTCCGCCTCCCCCCTCATCCTTCCGCTTTCCCCACTCCTCCCCTCCC